TAAAAAACATGTTGAAAATAACAATAGTGAGTAAAATTTGAAATTATCTAATTGTATAATATTGCTCTTATGTATTTTCGTAGACATCTATTTATTTAGCACATAAATTTATAAAAATGTTTTTTTAAATAAAATAAAAAATTACACTTTTTAAACTGTGTTAAATATTTAGTTATATTTTAATTTTTATACAAAATTATTTATATTACAGATATCTACACTAGACATAGTACTAAAACATACTAGACATTTATACTAAAAAGCTCAGCGAAGATTAATGAATGCAATCATTTGAAACGTAAGTCAAATGGGTTTGTACTGTCATAATGAGAGTTAAATGTTTCGCAACTCTATTAGCATTGACACCACCAAGCTAGGTGAACAGCAATTAGTGAGTGTGAATTTTCATTTACACTGCACCACGTACTTTGTCATCGAGATCCATTACGATGGGTGTTTGCTTCGTCGTCAACAACAAATGTGTGAAATATGCGCGAAAATTAATGAAATTTAAATTTATTTCCATAAAGAATATTGACTAAAGTTATTCTCTTTATCGACATATGATAAAGAAATTATTCATAGTCATAGGTTTTCAAATTTGCACCAGCTTTTAAAAATTAATTTATGACATATGCACATCAACAATTTTCTAAATTTTCCATATCTGTTGTATCAAATCTATCTTCAATTTTGAAGATTTTGTTTCTTAAAAACAAAGGAAAAACTGGAGAATGTACAATATACATATATATAGAACCTGTACAATGTAAACTTGACACAAATCTGTTTGTGTCTTGGTTAGTTCCAAAGTGTTTGAATACCACTTTTTTAAGTACTGAGGCAAGAAAATAAATGAAAATAATCAAGACAAAAAAAAATTTTGTGTTGGATTCACCGAAGTTACGATGTAGTACTTTACACACTAGTACTTTACATGTAAAATTATAATAAAATTCTTACTCTTAAGCTATGTGCCAATTATAACTATATCATCAGCGAATATATGAAAATATGGTATAATATATGTTAAAATTTAAACTATTTTTATCTTAAAAATAAAAATGAGGAATGGTAAATTTTCAAAAATACATAAGGAATATTAATATATGTATATGATTTTTTAATTTAATGAAAAATATTGATATGTAATAAAAGTGCATTTATGAGTTATTAAAAAGTTATTATTATGAGTTATATTGAAACAAGTTCTCACTTTTGATTAAAATCTGTATATAAATACGTTTAAAAATAAGAATAACGCGTCTTTAACAATTTAAAGATCTCTGCACAGAAAAATTCAAAATTTTATATTAAATTTTATTAAAATCAAAAGCAAAACTTTTGTAAAATTTTATGTAATGGTATACGTATATGTTTTGCATTGCTTGTCTCTAAGTTTTATTTAATATTTAAGTCCCTTCGGCCCAAAATTTTCCATTTCATTGTCTTAATATCAACAAAGAGAAGTTTGTAAATTTTATATTACAATTTTTTACTTGTGTAGATACTTTCAAATAACACCTCCAGAAGCAAGACTCACATTTCGCAAGGTACAAGCATTGTTATATTTTTAATAAGCCGTCTTATTATTTTTACGACCTTAAGAACACGATTTAATGGAATTTAT